GTGGGGTTGTTAACCAATGTCATAAAACAGCATGTGTGTTACTGTTACATGAGAAACTATCTGTTCTGTAAGCCTTCACCTGAAGTACAATAAAATATTAAAAAAAAAAAAAAATGCCTCTCTGAGGGAGGATGCAGCCGGCAAACAAATGCAGAAGATGCCCATTATTTGTATAAAAAATCAGTAGATAAGGGCCTAAGTATGAAAACTAAAACCATAAAATTGATAGAAGAAAATGTACGAGCGGGATTATAAGACTTAGTGTTTAACAATAGATTATCGAATATGACGAGAAGCTCGAGCAGCAAAAGACAAAATAGATAAAAAGGACCTCATAAAAATTAAATACTTTTGTACATCAGAGTGCTTAACAAAGTGAAAAGACAGCCTACAGACTGGAAGAAAAGTTTTGGGAACCATATGTTGGATAAGACCCTAATATCCAAAATAAAACTTCTGCAACTTATCAACAAAAAGATAACGCAATAAAAAAAATGGGCAGAGGACTTGGACAGTTCGCCAAAGAGGATATTCACATGGCCAACAAGCACATGAAAAGATGTTCAACTTTATCAGCTGTTAGGGAGATGCAAATCAAAACCATAATGAGGTATCACCTCACCCCCGTAAGAATGGCAGTGATAGAAGAATGGATAACAACAGGTGTCAGTGAGGTGTTGGAGAAACCTTTGCTGATGGGAAAGTAAAATGGTGCAGTCGCTATGGAAAACAGTTTGTGGGTTCCTCAGAAAGTTGAATATAGAACTACCATATGACCCAGCAATCCCAATCCTAGGTATATACTCAGCAGTGAAAGCAGGAACACAAATAGAAACCTGTACACCAATGTTCATTGCAGCACTTTGTACAATAGCCAAAACATGGAAACATCGGAAGTGTCCATCAACAGATGAATGGATAAACAATGTGGAATGTACATATAATGGAATATTATGCAACTGTAAAGAGAAATGAAGTTCTGACACATGCCATGATAAAGATGAACCTTGACATGGATGAACCTTGGATACTGAATCAAACAACTAAGCTCTAAAAAGACACTTTTTAGACAACTGGTATTTAATAGAACAGTACTTCTCAAATTTCAAACGTTATGCTAAGTGAAATAAATCACCTGCACAAGGACAAATACTGTATGATCTCACTTACATGAAATAAGCAAATACCATAGTTTTATGCAAGTAACGCATGCCTTCAGCCTTTGTTTGCCAGCTGTGCCCTCCCCCTGTGAGTCATTTTTGTAAGCATGCTATGCTAAATTTTTTTACAGCATTATGTGGAAGACGATTAGCATGGTAGCACTTGGTGAGGGTGCCTTACAGTGGGAGGGCGCAGCTGTTAAATGCAGAGGGCGTGTGTTACTTGCGTAAAATTATGGTACATAGAAACCAAAGATTATTAATGGTTACCAGAGGTGGGAGTGAAGGGGAAAGGGGAAGTTTTTGTTTGGGGGCACTGAGTTTATGGTAATGGTGGTACAATATTTTGGAAGAGGATAGCAATATTGGTAGCACAACATGAAAAATGTAATCAATGTCATTGAATTGTAAATGAAGTTGTTGAATTGGCGAATATCTTGGTATGTATATTTTCACCATGATTAAAAACAAAAAACAAACAGTTGCCATCGAGACAGTTCTGACTCATGGGGACCCCATGTGTGTCAGAGTAGAACTATGCTCCATAGAGTTTTCATTGACTGATATTTTGGAAGTAGATTGCCAGGACTTTCTTTCAAGGCCCTGCTGGGTGGACTCGAACAGCCAATCTTTCTTTTAGCAGCTAAGCACTTTAACGGCACCACCCGGGGACTTCAAATTTAAGACAGCTGTTTAAGAAAACTCAAACCTAGAAACTTACACTGTTTATTTATATACCTAACTTCACTCTTATATTTCTAACACTAATTTCTTTTTCAGTTGTCATCTATTCCGGGACTAGATGATGTCACATTTGAAGTATCTCCTGTAAGTGTCACAAATGGACCGCAATCTGAAGCCGCTTCAGAGCAATCACAGGTAAGTATTTAAGTTCCAAGCAGCATAAGCATATCTTGGTTGCTTGATGGACCAAAGCATCAGATTGGAAGGAAGGAAGAAGTGAAATTAAAATGTAAAAATGTTTATAGTAAAAATTTGAAATCTTGAGATAGAAAATGAAGTTTGAAAAAAATAGCTATTTTAGTTTATTATTTTGAAGGGCTTTCTGAAGTTAATATTTGTAAACTTGATTTATACAGGACTAGAAAAAGTGTTAAATATAACTATTTCCTTCAAGTTCATTATGGAAGTTTTCCAAGTTCTTGTAAGAAATGTACTTTAAAAATATTTTATTATAAAAATTTCCAAACATACACAAAAATAGAATACTGCAGTGAATACCCACATACCCATTACCCAGATTCACCAGTTACTAACATTTGCACAATGCTGCATCTTAACTTTTGTCCCTACTGAAGTGAATCCCTGACAACATATGATTTCACCCTTGTATAATTCCTTGAGCATCTCTGAAAAGGTTTAACCTTTTCTTATTTAACCATAGTGCCTTTATCATATACAGTATAATTACCAGTAATTCCTTGATATCCTGTAGTATAGTCACTGGACCTATAGCTTTGACATCACCTGTGGACTTGTTAGTAATGAGAATCTGAGGCTTCATCCCAGGCCTACGAGTCAGAGTCTGCATTTTAACAAGATCCCTAGGTGATTCATAGGGTCTTAAAATTTGAGAAGTACTATTCTATTATGTACCAGTTGTCTAAAAAAATACCTTTTTAGAGCTGATTTGTTTGATACAGCATCCAAGTAAAGGCCACACTTTACAAATGGTTATTATATTTTAAGGAGCAAAGTGATTAAAGCGCTTGGCTGCTAATTAAAAGGTCGGAGGTACGAACCCACCAGCCACTCCCTGGGAGAACGATGTGACAGCCTGCTTCCATAAAGATTTACACCTTGGAAACCCTATAAGGCGGTTGTACTCTGTCCTATAGGGTCACTATGAGTCGGAATCACCTCCACGGCAGTAGGTTTGGTTTGGGTTTTATTATGTCTTAATGTTCATTTATGCTTTTGTTGAAATTTAAATTATTTTTATCTCAGGAAAATAAAAAATACTTTGTTTCAGAAAATACTGTAGTGTGTCTCAATGAGGTATCAAAATTCAAAATAAAAAAATCACTAAAATGCTGGCCTACCAAAGTAATGTGAACCAATTAAACTTCCTATCTGTATGGAATTCTGCATTTGTATGTAGAGGTGCTTTTCACTAGATATTTTCTAGGATCATGATGGTTTTAAGGATGATGAAAATAACTAACACTTAAAGGATGCTTACTAAGTGCCAGGCATGATTGTAGTTGCTTTTCATAAATTAACTCATTTATCCTCACAACAGCCCTATCAGGTAAGTACTATATTATTACTCCTGCTGTATAGATGATAGGGCAAAATGAGGCATGTTGTTGTGTGCCATGGAGTCGATTCCTACTCACAGCAACCTTATAGGACAGAGTAGAACTGCCCCATAGGGTTTCCTAGGCTGAAATCTTTATGGGAGCAGATCGCCAGGTCTTTTCTCCCTCGGATTGGCTGGTGGGTTCCAACCTTTCCATTACAGTTGAGCGCTTAACCATTACACCACCAGGGCTCGCCTGAATGAGGTATAAAGAAGTTTATAATTTGTTGAAAGTCAAACAATAAATGTAAGAGCTGGAATTTTAATCCAGGCAGTCTAGTGTCAACAGTCCTTGCTCTTAAACAGTGCACTACACTAAACCCCGCACTTTACAACATAACACTACCCTACACTGTCTTCGGTGCTTGTGTTCAATTCATTAAACATATTGAACATATGTAGTGCAAGACCCTGTAGGAGGCACCGTATATTTAGATGTAGTATGTATTTTGGGAATTAATTAGATGATTATTTACTTAACAATTAGATGTTAGAAAATTTAAGATTCATATAATTAATATAGCAAATTCCATTATAATGGCCACTGAAATATTTATAATATACAAGAGGAAATCCAGATGTCATTGAAGATTTTAACTTTAGAAGGTTCTCTCAATTAAATATACAAAAAAAACCCCATTGCCATCGAGTCAATTCCAATTTGTAGTGACCCTATAGGACACCCTTTTTCAAAAACAAGATATCTGTAAAGGATACTAAGAAAGCTTTGCACTTTACCTATACGTAGTACTTATTCTTTGGCAGATACTGTCATAAAATGTTTTTATAAATTTTTAAAGTGATATCTGTCTAATTTTGAATATTAGTTTTCCAGATGCTATTATGAATGCCATCTATAATATATACTTTAAAACCTAATTTATGCAGTTGTGTTGTTCCTTGCCTATCTAAGTCCCCAAAATATTGATTACCACTAATCATAGCTGAATTTTATAACTTGCCTTGCAAATTTAGAATGACTTGGTATATCTCTGGGCAAGCACTTATATAAAAACTGTATATTAATTCACTTGGAGGATTTATGAAGTCCTGTTGACTTCCCAAGTTTTTGTGGTAAAGTTCTCTATTGATTAGCTTAGTGAAATAACTGTTCAGCATGTTCTTAATATATAAATCAACATCTTGTTTCTTCTCCATTGTTATAAATAGGTATATTATAGGTAAATATTTTGAAATGGACTTAAATATTGCTTAACCCAGAGTTCCCGTTGACATTACCGTCAACTCAATTATCAGATAAAGGGTAATTGGGCACCTTTTTTTTTTAATTACCTATTGATCACAATCTGTAATCTGTATATGAGTCAAAGACTTAAGGTTTGTATACTGATTTTTCTGCAACTTTAATTTTATGGTTCAGATTTTATCATTATTCACAGTGGAGCATCTAATTGTGCAGTTTGATATTAATTTGAGAATAAAATGAAGAACAGTTGAGAGATATGATAAAGGATTTAATGGGTCATTCAAATAGCAAAGGTGTAAAATACTACAAAATTAAAACTTGTTGAGGTTCTTGGTAATAAGCAGAAGTTATCAGTTGAAAGTTGAAAATCCATTAGGCCAGTATGTATGACTTGCGTTTACTCCATTGTGCTATTGTATGAGTTTATTGCCCAAAAATTTTTTAATAACATACTTAGGTGTTGTTTAAATGTTTTATTTAATTAGCAGTGTTTTGGACTTTTTGTATTTATATATAATACATATACTCAGTTTTGAAACACTTAACAGTGTATTAAGAGGAGAAACCTAAAATATTTTTGGATGTTTTATTTGCTTCAGAATTTTTGACATATTTAATTTATATTTGAATTATCTGAGGAAAAATCTTAACATCGATAATTTGCATTCATATTCTAAAGAATGTGAAGACTTAAAGATATTTCTTGATTTATCTACATTTCAGTATAGATAATAGACATAATATTGATTTCAATTCTGTTAAGGAAATACCTCCTAATGCTAATATACAATATTGAATGAGGTTCACAAAAGTAAATGTATTTTAAATGTTGAATTTGATAGAAGAATCAAGTACTGTATACAGGCAGCCCTTGATTTGCACTTAAGCAAGGACACAGTTCCAATATCAGCAAGTTTCATTTAAGATCATACTATGCAAAAAGAGGTCTGCCTGTATTACAAAAGCATTTTTATCTAAAAAGACCATTCCTCAGTATTCTTTATTGTAAGTAGTATTTGATATTTAATCTTAACCGCTCTTTGGACAGTGTCATCACTAAGAGTTCCATTAGCAACTGAAATTTTAAAAACTAGGTCATTTTGTTGAGAAATGGATTTCTCTTACAAAAATTATTCAGACATTGCTTTCTAAGAAGTTAGAATAGCCATGCCCACTTAGATTAAGATAATTTAATAAATGAGGAGTTCAGTGTGGTAGATGGTAGATAACTAGGAAATCAGTCATTGCCCATTAGAGGTAAACTAAATTGCTTGATTAGCTTTATTAAGATAATATGTCCACCTATAATTCATGTTTTGTATCAGCACTCTGGGGACAAGTAAAGCAGAATTTTTATTTTTTTAGTGCCATGAATATATGTATTTTAAGAAACAGGGTAGTGTTGATAGTAAATGTAGCTTCCTCTGAGGTCATATTTAAACATTTGTAGCTATTTGGAAACATATATCCCATAATTAAATTATTGGTACTCAAATTTAGAAATATGATTTTTTTTCTGATATTAAATGCTTTAGAATTATAAAAAGAAACATCCCTTTTAAGTAAATAACATGATGGACCTCTTTTGTGAATTGTCTAAAAATTTACACACAATACTCTCTACAGCAGAACAGTATACAAGACTCTGGACCACAGGAAAGTGAAGTAGCAGCAGAAAATATCTTAACTGTAGCCAAGGATCCAAGATATGCCAGATATCTCAAAATGGTTCAAGTGGTAAGCGAATTTGGTCTGTCTTCTCTGTCTAGCAGCCTCATTTGAAATTCTTAACCCTCGAGGTTTTATTATTTTTTCAATCTGAGAAAACTGCTAAACTGAGCGACCAAGTTTCTACTCTCTTCTTTCCTGTGCTTAATTAATACCCTGATAAAAAGTAACCAGAAGTCAAATCTTTCTAATTAAAATTGATTTCACATTTCATATTAACTTAGTCTTTAATACAGATTTATGTAATTATTTTTTGCTTTACACAAAGGTTATCAATGCAAATCTTGGATGTATCAGAAAGAGGAATGAAAGTGAACTGTTCATTTGGTAAATCATGTTCTTTAACTTAATTCTCATATATTAGCACAAATAAGTTGCCCTGGTGGCACAGTGGTTAAGAGCTCGGCTGCTAACCAAAAGGTCAGCGGTTCGAAGCCACCAGTTGCTCTTTGGAAGCCCTATGGGGCAGTTCTGTTCTGTCCTGTAGGGTCACTATGAGTCAGAATATGTTTTTTGTATTTTCATTCTGACGTTCATCAACCAATGATTCGGTTTCTAGAAAAGAGCATAAGTCCCTTGGCTATGTAAAATAATGTGTTTAATGCTATATGACTTCAGAATTCATATTTTTCCTAAGGAATCATAACATGGTATGATACCAAAAATATTTGCATTTATCTGTAACAGTGGAAGTCAATTTCTTTTCATAGCTATAGAAAGTCCTCTTACAGTGGTTGAAGGAACTGTCTGTCCACTTTTTTCTGTTAATCAAAAAATTAATACATATGTAAAATTCTATTATAAGACAAAACAACTACTGATACTAAAGTAGAACAGATTTGTTTTGCTGTTCATCGCATTGTTTATCACCAAAATAATTTAAAAACCAGTAATCTCTGATAACCAGAAAGAATGTTGTTGTTGCTATTGTTAGCTGCTGTCGAGTCAGCTCCAATTCACCGTGACTCTGTATAACAGAACAAAACTTTGCCTGGTCCTGCACCATCCCCACAATCAATGCTGTGTTTGAGCCCATTGTTGCAGCTACTGTGTCAGTCCATCTCATTGAGGGTCTCCCTCTTTTTCGCTGTCCCTCTAGTTTACCAAGCATGATGTCCTTCTCCAGGAATTGGTCCCTCCTGATAACATGTCCAAAGTAAACGAGACGAAGTCTCCCCGTCCTTGCTTCTAAGGAGTATTCTGGCTGTACTTCTTCCAAGAAAGATTTGTTTGTTCTTCTGGCAGTCCATGGTATATTCAGTATTCTTCACCAACACTGTAATTTCAAACGCATCAGTTCTTCTTCGTTCTTTCTTTTTCATTGTCCAGCTTTCACATGCGTATGAAGTGATTGAAAATACCATGGCTTGGGTCAGGCACGCCTTAGTCACCAGAGTGACATCTGTGATTTTTATGATTTTAAAGAGGTCTTTTGCAGCACATTTGCCCAGTGCAATACATCCTTTGATTTCTTGACTGCTGCTTCTATGGGCATTCATTGTTGATTCAAGTAAAATGAAATCCTTGAAAACATCAATATTTTCTCCATTTGTCATGATGTTGCTTATTGGTCCAGTTGTGAAGATTTTTGTTTTCTTTATGTTGAGGTGTAACCCATACTGAAGGCTGAAGTTTTTTTATGTTCATCAAGAAGTGCTTCAAGTAGTCTTCACTTTCAGCAAGCAAGATTGTGTTATCTACATATCACAGGTTGTTAAGAAGTCTTCTTCCTATCTGGATGCCATGTTCTTCACGTAGTCCAGCTTCTTGGATTATTTGCTCAGCATACAGATTGAATAAGTATGGTGAAAGGATACAGCCCTGCCCCACTCCTTTTCTGATATTAACCACTCAGTATCCCCTTGTTCTGTTCGAACTTCTGCCTCTTGATCTATGTAGACGTTTTGGTGAGCACATTTAAGTGTTCTGGAATTTCCATTCTTCGCAATGTTATCCATAATTTGTTATGATCACACAGTCTAATGCTTTTGAGTAGTCAGTAAAACACAAGTAAACATCTTTCTAGTATTCTCTGCTTTTGGCCAAAATCCATCTGACATTAGCAATGATATCCCTTGTTCCATGTCCTCTTCTGAATCGGGCTTGAATTTCTGGCGGTTCCCTTTCAATGTACAGCTATAGCCGCTTTTGAATTATTTCGGCGAATTTTATTTGTAGGTAATATTAATGATATTGTTCAAGAATTTCCATATTCTGTCGGATCACCTTTCTTTGGAATGGGCACAGATACGGATCTCTTCCAATCAGTTGGCCAGGTAGCTGTCTTCCAAATTTTTTGGCATAGACGAGTGAACACTTCCAGGGTCACATCCGTTTGTTGAAGCATCTCAGTTGGTATTCCATCAGTTCCTGGAGTCTTGTTTTTCACCAATGCCTTCAGTTGAACTTGGACTTCTTCCTTCAGTACCACTGGTTCTTGATCATATGCTGCCTCCTGAAATGGTTGAACATTGACCAGTTCTATTTGGTACAGTGTTTCTGTGTATTCTTTCCGTCTTTTGATACTTCCTGCGTCATTCAATATTTTGCCCGCGTTGTTGTTGTTGGGTGCCGTCAAGTCAGTTCCGACTCATAGCGACCCTGTGTACAACAGAATGAAACACTGTCTGGTCCTGCACCATCCTCAAAGTTGTTACGCTTGAGCCCATTGTTGGAGCCACTGTGTCAATCCCATGTCAGTTTTGCCCCTAGAATCCTTTAATATTTCAACTTTAGGCTTAAACTTTATCTTCAGTTCTTTTAGCTTGAGAAATGTGGCGTGTGTTCTTCCCTTTTGGTTTTCTAACTCAAGATCTTTGCACATTTCATTATAATACTTTGCCTGGGCTCATTTAAAAACTAAGGAGCCCTGGTGGTGAAATGGTTAAGCGCTCAGCTGCTAACTGAAAGATTGGCAATTTGAACCCACCAGCTGCTCTGCAGGAGAAGAGACCTGGCCATCGGTTCCTGTAAGCATTGCAGTCTGGGAAGTGCTGTGGGACAGTTCTGCTCTATCCTGTAGGGTCGCTATGAGTCGGAATCTGCTCAGCATCATACAACAACAACATTGAAAAACTACAGTGGTGACAGTGGAGAGGAGAAAATACATTCACTTTCCATAGCTGTCAGAAGTGGATTTGTCATTTTCAAAATTCTTGGATTGACAGTCAACATCCTAGGCACTAGGCTTCAGAAAAATATAAATCAGACTTTTGGGATGAAAATATATGAAGTTCTTTAATTAATATGAATAAAGTAGAGCCAGTTTGACTATGAATCATGATGAATAAATTTTTAAAGCTAGAACTGAGGAAAGCTTAAGCTCGAAAGATATACCATCAAAATCTGTCGGTGACTCTTTCAAACAAAAGAGGAAAATCTTCAGAAGTGACTCTGGAAGGCTTTTTATGTTAAGCTTTTCTTGCTTGACATATATAAAATGTGAAGTAGGGAAATCAACTTACTGATGTGTCTAAGAATGCCCTGATAGGTTTGATAAAACACTATGTCTTAGGATAACTGTTATATTCTTGATACCTTGTCTCTGATTTTCCAAGAACTTAAAAACTTCATTTTCCTTTCAGTATAAATCCACATCCATTTATTCCACAAATATTTATTAAACATTTTATTTAAGATACTACATCAGGTATTGTCTGCATTTATCTAGCCAGCTAAGGTTCCCAGATACCACTTGAAGTTTTTACTTTTGTTATTAATTATTTAGATGAGTTTCATTGCTTTTGAGATACATATACACATATACACACATATATATATATTTTAATTGCTCTTTAAACGTTTAGTTTTCTAATCATATGGCTTACCATCTCACTAGGTATAAACACCAAAGCCCTTCACAGTTGCATGAGGCCCTACACACTTCAGCTCCAGTTACCTTTCTAATCTCATATCCTCTCTCAACTCTACTGCCGGCTCTGCTGTCATCCTTAGTGTTCCTTCAATATATGGGCAGTCTTCTGCCTCAAGCGTTTGCATTAGCTGTTCTCTTTGCCTGAAATACTTTTTCTCTCAGAAGCTCATCGTGTACTCCATCATTTTCTTTAAATCTTTACTCAAATATTACCTTCTCAGTAAAGCCTTCCCTGCCCACCTTATTTTAAATTACAGTATCCTCTGACTCCATTCCCTTTATTCCTTCCCTGCTGTATTTTTCTTCATATCAACTTCCAACGTAGTACATATTTTACATACTTATTTTGTTTATCTCTCATCCTCTACATGAGGGCAAAGAGTTTTTTGTGTTCTGCACTATTCTTAGTTCCTAGAAGAATTTACTTACAAAAGAAAATGCCTATATTTTCTCTATGATATTTTATCTTTTGATAGGTTTTGATGACAGATTTCATTTTTATCATTTCATTTTTACATTAGCACAGTGGTTTTCAGACTAAGAAACTGTCAAAATACAGGTATCCGGGCCCCGCCCTACTAAATTAGAATCTCTGGGATTAGGATTTGGAGTTTGAGCATATGTATTTTGGTGGTGTGGGGGTGGTTCTCTTCCAACTAAGGGCTGTTTAAAACATTTTGAACTGCAACAGCAACTCAAAAGATTAGATAGGAACCTCAGAGGGTAGTTGGTTTATGTTAATGAGGGAGGAACAACTCAGAAATGGAGGGCGAGAATGGTTGCCCAACTTGAAGAATGTAATCAGTGTCACTAAATTGTAAACGTAGAAACTGTTGAATTGGTGTATGTTTTGCTGTATATAGTCTCACCAACAACAAAATAAATAAAATTTAGAAAAAAATATTTTAAACTGTTATAACATTAAAATAATTTTTATTTAAAAACATTGAAGGAAGAATAAATAAATATAAGTTTTCTTTAAAAAATAAAATAAAATGTTGAACTCTCTAGTAGTTCTGGCACTTAGTTCCTGCCTGTCCTTTTTGCTCGGTGTCCCTGAGTATGAGCAGGGGTTCAGTTTCTTCTGCCTCAGACTTGTACTGTTTTTAGCCCAATTTCCCTGATTTCAGCCCTA